TCAGGCATCAGAGTCAGGCAAAGCAAGTACATTCAAAGATACGGTACAAAAATCCAATATTCTACAGTGACAATGATTGTAAAAATGCCTGCTCTCCCCTAGTCTTTCATTCTTGATACCATAGCAGTTTTCATACTTTCAAGACGTACTTTTAAGTAACTGCAGTCACCATATGTTACTGCAACTGTTCATAAAGCTATGCCGTAAACCAAACGAGAGAGAGAGAGCGAGAGAGAGCGAGAGAGCGAGAGAGAGCGAGAGAGAGAGCGAGAGAGAGCGAGAGAGAGCGAGAGAGAGCGAGAGCGAGAGAGAGAGAGAGAGAGAGAGAGAGAGAGAGAGCGCGAGCGCGAGCGCAGAGCGAGCGCAGAGCTACAGGCCTGTACACACCCTGAAATCTTTTAGGAATTTTTTTAATATTCTTCTACAGCGCAGCCCACTCACAGGACAAGAACTATCAGCTTTACCACAGGTGAAATGCACACTCTAAGGCTCCAGACAGAATGCCTTTTGCAAGCAGCCTGAATCAGCAGAGCTCAGCCATGAGAGGTACTGCTTAAAGGAAAGCATGCTTAAGGGAAACTACACAAGTCCAAAACAAAAAAATCAAAGGCAGCACCATAACACCACAAACCTGTTTGGGGTGAGACTCGAGGAACACCAGTACTTAATGTCCAAATTGCAACACCAACAAAAATGCGATCACCAAACCCGTGCATCCACCTAACATTATCAAGCTCCTCCTTCTTGATCTGGAAGATTCTTACGCCCCTGCAGTTTTCTTTTTCCCTCATATCTTCTCAGAATTGAGAAGCTTCTGCTTAAAGCCTACAGTAACTGCAAGTGTAAGGCTAAGCTGCAGCACATAGCATCCAAGTGCCAGCCCTGGCATTGCTAACAAACCAACAGTGGCAGGTCTATTAGGAAGCAACTTAGTGAGAACACCTGAAAGAAAACAGATCCTATGACAACAACTGAGTGATGTACAACTTTTACTTATGACCTAACAGAGCACTAAATGCTGCAAGTTCAAGACCTTGCCTGAAGCCAAAGGCCATTTCTACCACTTTCTAATTTACCTAGAACATGATTTCCATACCAAGAAAACAAGCCTAGAAGTGCCTAAACCCACAGGCTACAGATTCACGCCTCTCCACAGTGGCACAACTTCAACAGAAAGTTGGGAAAAAGTGCTGTCTGCACATTTACAGCTGAGATGCCCTCCTGGGTAAATGGCAGGTGTTGAATTGAACACCTTGCCACTGAGAAGAGAACAGAATCTAGGTCTTCCATTTCCCAGCTCAACAGCTGAGCATTAGTTAAGGCAATCCCGAAAGACGAGTGTCACCTGCTCCTGCACCCCCCTTTTAGGAGGGCAGGGACCTCGTCTCAGTTCTTGGAAAGGTGCCTTACCACACAAGGGATCCAGACGCCTCACTGCAGCTTTGAGTAAGAAACTGCATTTCAAATATATCTCTACGTATATTATCACGCAGTGGCTCCCGCTAGACAGCCCACCATTCAGTGTATTTTTTTTCCTTGGATCATCCACTACGACACCTAATCTCATACTGCTCAGTAAACTGAGGACTTGGTAGGATACTGTGTTCCACTTTGGAAACTAAGGACCATCAATAACTTAGGTACCACAACAGTCAACTCCTTCAGTGAATCTAGGCTCTGGGTAATGAGCCACAATTTAAACATTTACAAGGGCTTGTGCTGTCCTTCCGTACCAAAACCACTATTTTTGTGAAATATGTAAGGTCTGAACAGTTGGCTGTAGCAACCACTTAAGGTTCATTACCCTGGTTTCTGCAGAAGTATGCTAAATGCTTATTTGTACCTCAAAAATATAGCATGTGAAACTGCCCTAATATTACAACACCAAAGCCACAACCTCATTGATTCCTTGGAAAAACGAGTGACAAAAATACACTGAGAATGTGTTTTTCATTAGCAGCTGTATTAAGTCAGGACTGGCGGGGCTATTACACAGGCCACAAAACAAGTACCTGTATTTGCATGTGCGATTTAAAACCATCCCAGGACTTACTTGCTGCATCTCAAAATTGACTAAAAAGCTTTAACCCTCTGACTCTCTTGATATTTCTATGGCAAATTTCACTCACTGGGGTACTGAATACATTCCCTGAGTCTAGCTGACTCAAGTCACTGAATTAAGCCAGTTCTGAATGCCCATGAACTCCACCACAGTTAGGCGATACTTACATAACTAGTTCAAGTGAAGTGAAGACTACAGGTAATAACATGGAATATATAAAATATATACATACTTACTGAGACTAAACCCAAGTGTGTGGACAGTCACTTATGGGACTGAGTTTACTATTAATTATAAAGACCAAAATCTGGCAAACACACCAAAGATGCTTCAAATTAACTGTGACTGTGCCAACTGACTTAACAGCAAATCTTAAGTTTAAAAACCTGGGAGAGAATGTTCTGTAGGACCACCAGAGTCTCCCAGTGGCACCTATCTGTAACCAGCAAGGCATAAATAAACTTTCATTCCCCCATCTAAGTTAAATACAAACCAAAAAAGTGTATTTGGTTACTATGGCTTTGCAATTTCACACTCACTGACTGGATAAAAGGAATCTAGTTTCAGACTGATTGACACTGCTCGCATCCCTTGGATTTTGATTTTTTTTTTTGATGCTGACAATGAAGGAATTCAGGGGCGGGGCACAGGGGGGAATGACTTAAAAATACCCAACTCTACTTTACGAATTTGCCACAAGGCTTTAGATGTACCAAGCAATCCATCTAGGATGGGAATACCTGACTGGACTATCATTAAGCTAACAGTCATCTAAGATTTTGCTAATTCAACCAACACCCCCAAGGTCTGCAATTTTTTTTTTAAGGAGCTTTTTGTTATGACAAAGTCATCCAGTACTAGTTCTGGTACCACAGACACTGTTTTGACAGGCAGTGATGATAAGAAGAGTTTTCTGAATGGTAAAGCAGATCTTATGTCATTCAACTCTCAGGTTTGGTTCCTCCAGATGATGTTCCCTGATTGACCCAAAAGAACCCAACCTGTAAAAATTTCCCACCCCCTGAAAACAAATACAAACACTGCTTTTCAGAAGTACAAGATGACATATTGAGCAAGTCAATGAAGGTCACAGCGGTTATTGGAATAATTTAATAGTGGCTAATCTAATGATGTTCCCAGCTGATATGCCAGTTAGGAAACTGGGAGAAGACTGGCAGCTCTGTATGTATTCGTGCCCCCCCTTAGTAAACCAGAACACTTTAAGATTTGCAGAGGTGACTATGCAATCAAGTCTCATAGCCTAGAAGCATCTCCCCACCCCCCCCAATCATCTAAGAAAACCTCTAATTTCCACCCATGTCTTTTGAAGCATCAGACGTGGAGGACTGGCTGGTGAAATAGTCAGAGACTGTAGAGAGATGCCTTTTTTGCATACCTGGCTCATACGACTTATTCATTGGTTTGAGACAGACTGATTGCCAGATTTGCAATTCCCCTCACCTCACACAGCAGGCAGACTTTCTCACATTCATTTCTAGCATGAAGCACAGATTACTAGCTGCTGAGATCTTCTGATTGTCTACACACTTCTCTGAGACCAAAGATCTTAAAATGTATGTGATTTTTAACGCTTTTTAGGTGTTCGTGTTGCATTGCACCCTTGAAATAAATATTTCAGTTTTTCAGGGGGTTGCCTAACGTCACAGGCATTTATAATTTAGATTCCGATAGGTTTTAAATAGACTGGTCTTCTAAAGAGAAGATGAGCTCAGCCTCTTCTGACCTTAAAATTCCATGAAATCTATCATACATCCACTGTAAGTAGTAGTGGAAAGGCAACCTAACCATGCAATGAGAACATACACCTCAACTGGTAACAGTGAATAGCACTGAGTAATGAAGATCTGTACTCATAGCTCCAAGATGATTGTCTCAGACCCTTCATGAGTTCAGTTACAGAAATCAATGCAAAGGGAACAATACTGAACCTAGGTCAGTGCTAGAGGAGTCCAGGCTGCTCTCTCTCCCATTAAGCTTGGCAGAATTTCCTCAGAGACTTTATAAACTGTACTGTACATTGCACATCTCAAAATCTTTCTTTAGGTTCAGAGTGACCTTCCTGGCTTGACTTCATTTCTAAATGCCCCCCCTCCCCCCCCTTTTTTTTTTTGTGAGTAAATCTACAGCAGGTCTCTTCAGATGATCCTCTTTATGCTGGTCTCCAAGACTGCCATTCTACTATGGCTGAAGGCTGGATGAAGCCCATTTACCTACTCTCAGCATTCTCGGTGATTCTTCGTATTCTACAAAGACTTTTGTAATTTTCTCCAGGAGACAAAAGTCTGAATTGCACAACACATCATTACCTTTTTGAGGAAAACGATGTGTACAAAGACCCACTTAATATCAAGAAACAGATGGAAATACCTGTTGCACCCATCTTCCAGAAGAATTGGTTTAGTGCAGAACAGACCAAATTTGAAACCTGCATGTGGAGGAGCTCTACACAGAAAGGCTGACAGTATTCAGTCCAATGGGCCAAGGCAGCGTACAACAACATTGTATGAGATCAGGTGACTCCTGAAGAGCTTTAGCCAGATTAAGAATTAGTAATGCAAAAATAAACCAAGTTCCATCTTGGTTCCCCAGGCAGGAAACAGAGCACTAAAGGAGGGTCTCTGTCACCCTGTCTCTTATGCATGATCTCTGACAATGTAAACTAACACTCCAATTTCATGTGGATGAAGCATATAGAAAGATGACACTATGAAATACAGCCAAAGAAAAAGTTTTTACATTTTACAGATTTAATTAATCTTTGCCCCACTAAACTGAATAGGAATTTCTTTTGACTTCACTGGATGCAGGATCTTGCCCTATACGCAAATGCATGCTTCAAGATGGCCTACATAATGTACTAAAAGCAGAAAGTTTAGAAAGGTTGCTTTGGCATATCTGCATAAAGTACAGTAATTACCATGTTGAAGTAAGACCGGATTTTGACCCCTCTTGCCAAATCCCAAACTATGACATTTCCATCATGTCCAGCAGAGAAGAGAACTCTTGGATCAAATGGATGAGGTTCAAGTACAAACACTTCATCTTCATGTCCCTGAAATTTAAGATGCAGCAAGATGAACAAGAGGATTGTCTCAAATACTCACCCAGGAATCAACACGATAACACTAGCAGCTGCAACATTAATCTATGAAAGTGTCCAGCAAAGAACAACTACTTTGACCACACATTTGTTTTTTTCATAGCAGTGTATTATACTCTTTCCAGATGCAATTTTAGCATCCTAAGAAGCATGTCAAGTATGTCACCTTCACAACAAGTATGTCCTAATACTTTCACCATTATTTTAAAAGATTAGAGTCCACCATGTTCGGTGGTTTTGGTCTTAATGCTCCACAGATTTCAATTTGTTTAGGCAGAGAAACAGTTAGAAATTCAATTTAGACCCAGAAAGAATCAAATATGTAACTAAAAGTTAGAGAACATCTCCAAAATTAAGACTAAATTTTTAAGTTTGCATGAAATATTTCCATCTCCAGCAGAGCATCTAGTTACCTATTTTCTCAGTTTAAAAAAAAGTATCAGACATTAGTAAAAATGTTGCTTGATTTATTCTAGCTAGAAGACTATTTTTTTTGTACTCATGGAATGATTAGGTTGCAGAAGTCTCTGTGTTTAAACAGGGCAAATTTACCCATTAATAGTATTTCAAAACATTTGTCACATCAAATAAAGGTAAAACAACTGTTTCCTTCTCTCCTTCAAGATAGCACTTTAGGAAAAGGTCCAAAATTAGTTTCAGACATCCTGAACAGCAATGGCTATTTGCGATTTTAACGCTTCATTTTCTAGTAAGCAGCTGACAGACATCTCTATTACACTTCAATTATCCGTAAACATTTCTTAAGGCAGTTTTCAGACAGAAAAAAAAACATAAGGAAGAATTTTGATGATGTAGACGTAAATTTTGCATTCAGGACTGATAAATCAAGATGGAACACCTTACCATGAGAATATGAATGAGCTGGCCAGTGAAAGAATTCCAAACTTTCAGAGTCATGTTATTTACTGCAGTTATAACAGAGTTGTCATGGCGGTCCCATGCCACCATGGTCACTTTCAGCTTTGTGATTTTATCTTCAACTCCTTGTAAACTTTGTCTAAAACAAAACAGCAAAAACATTTCAAAGCAATTCTAGTTTGCCAAAACATTTTTATGTCCCTAACAAGTGAAAATACTTCTGCATTTTGCTTTATTATTAAGAATAGAAGCATTACTTCTTCAAGAAACTGGAGAAATGAAAGATGTTTTCCGTTATGTAGCACATACATTGTAGATGCTTAAACAATGACTATAGGATCCTCTTAATTTTTTAAATACGCTGATCTGTTTTTTCAGAAAATGCCCTCCGATACATGGCCCAACCCAATTAAATTTGATAGCTACAGTATTTGTGGTGACATTTGAAGAGCGAAAATCAAAACTAGTCAACCAGTGAACATTAATTTGTCCTGGAGAATATTTGTAGTAAGTAGTTATAAATATGGAGAGAAGTATTCTGATACCTTTAAATGAGTTAAATTCTCAGGCTATATTTAGTACTAGACCACCACCCTTACATCACTTTATTATCAGTAATAACGGTGCTTAAGCTTGCATGTGTTTTATTTTTATCCCTATGAAACCCAAACACTAGCCATCTGTAATATAATACATCACAACACACCAAAATTACATTTTTATCAGTGTGGTTTAAAGATGAATCACCACTGAATTCTCTAGCACATTAATTTCTGGGAAAACATCAACCAAATACAACAATAGCATGTTACCACCAAGTAGGCAGACAAAACAAAGGATCTTCTGTATAGTAAGCACTACAATACATTACAGAATAGTATATATTGTACAACTCAATAATAGAAAATGTAGTTATAGCCAGATTCCTTCCTAGATTCAATGCAGTACCCAGGAGGCTTTATAAGCTGAATTCACTATTTCCTTTCAGTGGAGCAATTTCATTTTCTTTGATAAAATCATGCTTGTGCAGAAAAGATCAAATTTGGAACTGCAGTTATCCCTCTAGTCAAAAGGACAAAACAGAATTCAGCTAAATGTACTTTACTGAAATGAGCAGTTCAGTTTCTCAAAGAAGTTCAGCATTTGTGACCACAATGAAGAACCCCCCATTCCTATTTTTCCCAGGATCAGTGAAAACTAAGAATTTTTACAGGCTGCATTTTCAAGAGAGAATAACTCAGCCTGTTCTCAAAGTACCAGTGTTTTATACACTCTTGTCCAACAGTTTTATATTCATTTTTCGTTGCATCTGCCCATACCAACAAGACAGTCTCTGATCTAAACAACTAAATTATAGCTTATTTAACCTTCTCTTCCATCTCCCTCTTGGTCTTTCAGACATCTTTCCATAGTATTACTCCTGAAACCATTTTAATTTTGTTTCTATTAAACATCATCCTTCAAAACACTCAGTATGACCAGTAAGGAGAAAAGGTTTACCCCTTAAACCCATTATAAATCTTTCTAATGTATGTCCATTGGAAAACTTCTCCTCCATGCCAAAATAAAAAGGTGCAAACCACAATTCCTACTAAGTCATTCTCCATCTTAAAGCTCTTTTGTTGCTTGTTCTAGTGTACAGAAGTTTCCCATACCTACAAAGCCTCGTAAATTCTTAGATCATTTTAACAAATGGGAACCCATTACAGAGCAAGTGATTTATTTGCTCTGGCATGTGGTATGAAAGAACCCAATACAGCTTGTCTGTAAGTATTACTAAAAGGTAAGCAGTCTCAATAAGAGATCAGGCCTGGTTTTCTTGCTCCAGAAATAATACCTATGTAAAAAGCCATATAAATTTGACCTTTAATAGGTTTTGAGTATCTTTTGTTCTTTTAATCTCATCAAAATACTAGCAGAGCTATTATCAAGACAAGCTAGTTTCCTCAGCTTAATATGTAGTCAAATATTTGTTTTCATTGGACTTCAAGAGCTAGACAAGCGTACTGTGTATTTAAGCAATAATAAAGCAATAATAATTGAAGAATGCCTTCCCCACCACCGCTTTTTTCCTCTCTCTTTTTTTTTTTAAAAGTAAGCCAGCAAATAGTATCAATGGCTACTATCTGATAGCAGAACATTTTACATCACTTACCCTGCTGGGCGAGTAGCCATATCTAACAAAATGCTTTTCCATTCCCTTCGTTTGAATTGCCAGATTCGTGCTGTTCCATCACGGCTTCCACTCACAAATCTAACAAAAGGTGAAAAAAGTTACTCAGAGATCAGAGGCAGATCTGTACAGAAAATACACTTGACAATTGAAGTACCAGAATTTAGAACTCAAAAAAGGAAGCTGTAAGTAACAAGTCCAAACAGTGCCAGGATGCTGTACAACTGGTTTGAGGTGAAAAACACTTCCAGTATCAGTAAATAATTGAAGGCCTGCAAAAAGTGGAACCTGCTTCCCTATCCCGAGCCCCTTCCAAACTAACTGTACTTTGACCTTTGGTGCACCTTGCTGAGTTACAACACTGCTCTGGCACAGGGACACCATAACCCAATAAGCATTCTAAGAAACTGACCCTGTCACACCAGGTGAAGCCAAGGAAGAAATTTAAGGGGTAAAAACAGCTGAAGGGCCAGGAGACCCCTGTAAGCAGAAGCAGAGACATGATTTAAAGCAAACAAAACCTACTCCCAATAAGCTAGCACTGTATGTTGAGTAAGTATTATGATACTTATCTGAATAAGCATTTCCCAGCTTCAGTTTCTCACCCACCTTCTTCTTCCCCCTTTCTTGGGTGCAGGGGTAGAAGGAGGAGAAAGAGGTGGGTGGAACACAACAAAGCTGGGTTTACAACTATTTGTATCATAATAAAAGTGCACATTAGAACATCAATTAAATGAAGTGTCAGAAACATCATAATAAACTTAACTATCATCTTTAGCATCCTTCACATCCAACATCCAGAACTTAAAAGCGAAACGTTACCAAACATTAGGCTAGCTAAACAAGATATTGTTAGATCTAGTTTGATAGTTTTCCTGTATCCACCAGTCACTTAATTGAAAAAAGGTTTAAATATTTAAATGTATCTAAAAATGCATGTATTTCATATATGAATACACATGTATACACACACATTTTTTAAGAAGATATTTCAGGTATTTTTATACTCCTTAATTTTGGCAAATTCAAAATACTTTAATCATTCATTACAATGAAAACAACTGTAAAACTGAAGAAGGAGTATCATTAAAACAAAACAGTGAGAATTCAATAATTGTAGATGATTTTACAGGATGAACCTCAAAAGAGAAAACTTTTTTTTTTTTTTTTTTTTAATAACTACTTCCAGAAACTGATATATACAAATGCCCACAAGGTCAAAAAACTAGCTTTGAATAAATAAATTGTGTGCTTACCTGCTACTACTATTAGAAAACTGAATGCTGTCAACTTTGTCCTATTTAAAAAGAGAGTAAAAAAGAAAAAAAAAAATCAAATACGATTCCAAATTTATCCAAATTATTATTTTAATCAAATATATAGGTAATTTCAAAAAAGTATTTACAGTATGAAACTCCAACTCTGATATCTTCTCTGGCTGACCTGATCCAAAGAAATAAACCCTAATGATGTGATCTGTACTGCCAGTGGCCAAAAACATTCCACCTGAGAAAAACAAACAGATAACTTTTAAGAAAAAAAGGGCAATCTAATGTTATTAAAGTATTTTCAAATTGCGGTGACATCAAATACTTAAATTTATTCCCCTAAATTTATAGCTTTATCTAATTTCACCTATGCCTGTAACTGACCTTTAAGTAAAAACAAGATCTAGAAACTCAAAAGTTTAACTGGAGTTGAATTACTTCACATTTGCTGTCAGCTAAATGTGCATATGCAGACATATCTGAAAGATTAGCTAACTAGAGTAGTTTGTGACTAAGCCCTTAGAAGCCTCAATCTTAACAAAAAATGAACGGAACTAGAGCTCCAGTATGCCTTCCAAAAATAAGTTTCTGTCATTTTGATATTTTATCCAATTATTTATGTTGCATTCTTCAATTGCCAACTCTGGAATCAATGAAATTCAGACCGTGAGAACCTGGTAATCGACACGTTCTTGTCCCAATCCCTATAAATTCCATCTCAGGCAAAGCTGACTCTCAGAATCACTCTGAGAAAAAGGTATACATTGTGTTTTAATAAGACTTGCAGTCACAAGAGACTTACTTTCAACATTTTATATTTAACTGTTTTCAAGAACTTCTGTATCACTAAGACTTAATGCATAATTCTGAATTTCTATTTTAAATATTTGGGGTTTTTTAATAGCTATTTTAACTCAATTCTATCTTATTAACAAGAAATATGCTACAGTAACTGTATTATACTTCATTTTACTCTCCAAATGACGACTTCTATTGATACAAGGAGGGTGGGGGTGGGAGGAGGGGGTAGTCTTTTACCAGCACTGAAAGAAGAACAGATCATTTGGACTCCGGGCCGAGGGCGTTCTGTAAACTTTGTTGGCCTTGGACTACAAATAAAGAAACAGTTAAATAATTTCCTAATAGGGCTTCAAAAAATAAGTCAGTATCTTAGAAATAAAGCACAGAAGGACAAAATTAAATATGAAGGAACAGATGGCTCCCCATCTATAAACAATCTCATGTGACTATGCTTCATGATCTGATCTTTAGGAAACTAAGACATCCAGATGGACTAAGTAATCCATGTATCAAGGAGAGCTGTATCACAACTTAAATCCCATTCCCCTCTCCCCTCTAATATTGCTATACGAAACACTCTCCTTAAGTCACCAGCAAAGCGGAACAGAAGACACTAGAGCCAGTTGCCCATCATGTTCAGTTCTAAACTACTGGGTGTACTGGAACTCTGGTTTTCTCCTGCAGCACATGGCTGCTTTTACAAGAGAGAAACAGAACTTGGCACTCTTTATAGAAAAGGATACAAAAGGAATTTCAATAAATTCAGAGTTTTTCACGGTATTAGAACATACCAGTTTCTTCAGAGGACATAAATTCTTTGTCGGCTAGTTTCAAATAGTGCCCAGAGAATGTCAGGACAATTGCTAGAAGTTTGTAAGGAATTTTACTTTATGGCCTGTGCTTCCTTTTAGGCATTTCAGAACCTGATGTGCAAGCAGAACTAAAGCTCTAATGGATTTGGCACTTTAAGAGTCTATAAAAACAAAACAAATCAGATCTGGTTCTTCAATCATTACTTCAACTCTGCTCATGCACTGCGGCAACCTCAATCAGTAGGTGGTCTTGCATAGTATGCCATCTGCAATCTTCACTCAAAGAATAAATTTACTAGAGAACAGCAGCATTACACCCACAAGTGTCATCACTAAAGATTTGTTTTAACATTAAAAAATGCATATTCATAACTTATCCAAAATTTTCTCTTTTAAAAGCAAAATAGTCCATATAATTCATTTCAGCTGAAAGCAGATGCGTAAGAGATCTTTCTCCACTAATCAGCTACTGCTATCTCAAAGAAAGTAGTAGGCATTAAACCTTAGTGGTGCCTATGCATAAAACAAAGTAATAAACACTACGAATACCAGGTAAGAAATCTTCTCCAAATTGTCCATTCTGTATAGGCTGTTCCTGCGAACCTTCCTCTAGGAGTTTTAAGGTAACTCCCTGCAGACTCATGACAAGGAAACTTCACAACAACATACACTAAACAAGACAAAGATCCTTTCTACAAAACAGCTGAAACCCTTCTTAAATGAGATACTAACATAAAAAGAACTATCAGATGATTCAATATGCAGCTTACATAATTTGGAGCAAGTGTAAATAGATAATTAGGCTGCTGTTTTCTTCCACTGTGGTTTGTGGACTCTGCCTTTGGAGTTAGGACAGCTGCAAAATAGAGCAAGTATGCACTTACGTTCTAGTCTGGATAACCAAGTTAAATTCTCCAACTTATGTCTCTCTCGTGTGTTATTTTACACTAGAGCAGACTGTGGCCTTTGCAAAATGAGCTGGGCAATCAGTATTTTGGGGAAGCAAGGAAAGTGGACAAAAGCATAATTTCTTGCAACATACAGAAACCAAGCTAATTGTTTAGCTTTACAAACATTCTCAATCCAATTATTAAGTGGCTGGACAGCATTAAGATACCTTCATGAACATTTCACAGAGAGGTCCAGAGAAGCCCTGGTAAACCATTTTTCTCCTGGAGGAGACCTGTATTAAGTTCAGCACAGGTCCAAAAACGAGAGGGGCTGCAGTCAAAAAATAACCTACGCTCAGGGCAGCAAAGAAGCAATTTGGTCTATGTGCCTCAACTAAGGGACACACTCACCCATATAAACATCTCACAAGTTCATCTTCTTCAAAATGCAGCAATAGTGCAGGAATAGTTAACTAATCCAAGCCCTGCAAACTACCCTCACTCCGGACACATAGTGGCTCAAGACTTCTTCCCAGAAAACAGATGTATGATATAACCTCTCCGAATTAAGTCTTTGTTGACAAGCTAACAAACAAAGTTCAGCATATCTGAATTCTGATGTATGCCCAGCCCCTTTAACATTAAGTGCCTTCTGCTTAAGAAAGCACATGGGAAGTATCGCACCACACCGATGACAATTGAGAAATCAACATCTTGTCCAAAACAGGAACATCAAATCATCAACACGTGTTTTTCCTAAGTTTTTTTCCTCTCTTTAAAATTATGGGGGAGAAAATAGAAAAGAAGAAAAGCAGTATAGTAAGTTCCTCTACCCAAATCTGCGAGACAGTTCTGCTGCCTTGTTCATATGGTCTGCCAGTAACAGACTAACACTGGAAACTTGTGATCCAAACAGGTGGCAGAAGAACAACAAGAAAATTCAGCATCTTTCTCAGAGGAGATACATACACAAATATTTTACAGTGCAACTAATTTAACTTCGATGCACTGACCAGTTGTAATAATTCTCCCTTAAACCTGACATAGATTATTCTTCAATTTCTGACGACCCAAGGCTGATTTTCTCTCTTCCCCTACTGTCAACTGATACAGGATCCAACTCTTGTGTTTTCTATCACCATCCAGAACAGAAACAGGAAACTAAATACAGGGAAAGTCTTGATTGCCTAATTTTTTGGATTGTTTTTCCATCTTGTTTGGGCCACATTCCTTGACTTCCTCACCTGCAGCAACAACCAATCTTACCATTCCTCTGGAAACCAAATTAATCTACCTGGACTGTTACTGCTTTTAGGCATACATGGTAACTGCCTGGTCAGAAATCACTGAAAGAAGAGGAGCACACAGGAGGCTCTGTAATAGTGAATGAAGAACATGCATCCACACTGGTCACAGAAGCACGTGCACAAGGCTGATCACTCTCTTTTGAACAACATGAGAATCTTGTGGTCAGCCATGCCTATGTCTGTGTTTCATCCTATGGCACCAAATTGACTGTCATGTGCCCCTTTGCAGTTTATCAAAGCAGAGTTCTGTCACTAAGCATCTCCTGTCTGGGCCATGTGTGTGTCCTAGATACTGAACATGCCTCAATTAATGAGGTTATCAAAAAATTGGGAGACCAACATGGGAAGCCTCTAATTTCAGATAATCTATTAATACTGCAGCAGAACTGCTGGCAAAGCTGAATACAATGATTTTTGCAATCTAAGAATGAAACAAAATAAACATTTGCAGAGGTTAAAAAGACAAAACAAAACCAAAACCAGAACTGGGATAGGGCACTAAACATTAGAAGGCTGAAAGGATATCAAAGTGCCTTTTAATGGCAAATACTACAGCTTTCAAGGTAATAAGTTTTCCAATTCTTCATGATCTCTTGAGATAAAATAATTGCTCCATAATATTTTGATCTAATTTTAGAAGTGGAGAATGAAGAACAATTTCAAGTTTCCTCATCTCCTGAAGAAGCTGACAGATTGCCTTCAGGGGGAATTCTTCCCAGGAGGCACTAAGTCCAATTTTCAGTTAAAGACAGGGAGCTGATCCAGTAGACTGAACCATCCAAGCTGGGTTCCACTGAAACAGTTTTCAGTGTAGTTAAGAACAAAACTGATTATTTTTAATTTGAGAGCACACTGAACACAGTAGTATATCCAAACACTGCCTTTCCTGTATTTTATGAAAAAGTTCAGCAAGTACTGCTGGCACTGCCATCATCTTGAAATTACAATCAACCACATGATCATCATGAGGCTGCCCAACAGCTCATAATCTTAACTCACTGCCAGATGATTCAAGTAGTGCTGAATATAAAAAGCAGAGGGTGGGGTGTGTGTATATATGTATTTTTTTCTTTTTTGAGCAGCTGAAATTTCAAGACTTCACCACCAGCCCCAATTTAAAGTATTGGACAATTTAGTAACACACTTTCATCACTGATAGCAATTGTATTCTTGAAGGACAGGCTGCAGTCAAGCTCAGGAGCATGAAATCACGTTCTGACTTAAACGTGTGACAGCACCCTTCACCTGTACTACTTAGATCTTTTGGTCTTGCCCAAAAGCTCCCATTTCTCTTCCATGGGGTGGGAGGGCCACTAGAACCGAGATACAGGGCTGCAAGCTCAGAACCTGAATAATTGTAGTAAGAGATCTTATTTTCTCTGCCAGTTTTCCTTCTTTTTAGAGATACTGAACAGAAGCAAGCCTGTATTTTTTACTATAGTGACAAAAGAACGGACAAGCTTCCCACCCCACCAGTTATTCTCTCTTCCAGATGGCCTACACATCATGTTCGTCAAAAAATAAACCCAAAAAGGGCCTTATGAAAAAAAATTAACAGGAATCTCTCTTTCCTTTGACAGTGTTATACTGCTGGCACTCGTTTTTCCCCAGCACATTACTGAATGGATGTGAAGGGCACCTGCCGTATTTCCACAATTCTGGAAGTGGATCCAGATCTAAAGGTGTACGGTAGTGCTATCACCTCATCGAAAACTGTGTGACAACTTACACTCATTACTGAGACGCACTGTCCATACAATGCAGCCTCCTTGTGAAAAATTACACTGGACTCTTAGTTTCCCAGTATCACTTAATATGATTACTGGAATAAACACAACCACAGTTAGAAGAGTTTACAGTTTAGCAAATGAAGTAAAACTTCCTGTAACTAACAAATTCTCCTGAACTAGCAAACTGTTCAATTCAGGAAGAGCTACATTAAGACTTTTCTGGGTGTCCAACTATTTTGATATCTTAAGTGACACACAGTTATGTTTCAGTCCCAAAAGACATGCCTGTTTCTTATTTAGCCTTTACTGTATTTTTATCAAGTTTTAGCTTTGATCACAAAGTATCAATTACTTATACATAACAGCTCTACTAAATTCAAACAAAGATCTAAGACCATTATCCTGCCTCCAAAGTAGCCAAAACCGGATGTGTAAGAGCAGAAAAACCATACAGTGATACCTTTTAGTACCTTCATATAATGCATAACAATATCCTGTGGCAAGGACTTTCACAGCTTAATTGCATGTTTTGTAAAGAACCACCTCCTTCCAATTTGGAATTGGCGACCTTCACTTGATACTCTGTAGTACAACAGCAGCCAGCAAGCAATTCCTCATTATATGCCCTCCTCAAGACACACACACTGTACGTCTCATGCTCATGCACCCATCTTTTCCCAGACTGAAGAAACAGAGCTTAAAGGGTCCCTCCATCTTCTCAAACACAACGCATAAAATACTTCCAGAACAGAAAGTAAGGACGGTACAAATTCCAGTCTCAAAATTTACTCTGCACTCTGTCATTAAGCAACATGAATCACTGGCATGACTTGGGTTACCAGATCACTTCCTTGCTGTGCTGCACAAGATAGCTGAACTAATCTGTTTTCTCTATGCCACTGTCTGATCACATCTGCTGCGACTACTTATACATGAAGGCATTACTCAAATATCTTTTATTCCTTTAATATTTGCCAGGTGCATCTCCCTGAAAATTTGTATTCTACATTTACATATCACCAAGGATAGGAATTAGTTGAGAATCCCCTACCATAACTGATGCCAGCTTTCTCACTCCCTAAGTTTTATCTCAAGACAAATCCCATCCAACTCCATGATTCATTCAAATATTAATGATTTCTAAATATTCACCTTCCAGCTCACACAGTATAACCCACTTACATCTCATGAATTCCCCTATTCTCTAATGACAGAATTTGTTTCAAAATTAAATTCCATAGGGTCAAACTTTATTTAGGAAAACAAGAAAAAAGAAAAAAAAAAGTTAAGAGAGAAGCATGTGAGTTCAAAAGGTTTAAAAATCAGACAGATTAAGATTTCATCTTGTCAACAAGAGCTCAGACTTAAGAGACTTTAAGAAAAACAATGTGGTGACAACTCCTCCCCTTCGCATAATTAAAATAAGCATGTGAGCCATCTCCTCACTAAGGAGAAGTGTTACTTTGACTACAGCATGTGCCAGGCAGCAGAGGGTTAACAGCCTGAGAAGCAGCTTCATCCACAGTATCAAAAAAAAGAGAGCCAAAATGCCCAGAGAACATCAAAATAGTTAAGGTCCATACAACTAGAGAAGTGGTGAACCTACCTACAAGCCCTGCATAACCTTGGCACGCTGCAAGAGATTCCAACAGCAAATACCAAAACTACAAGAAAACGGAACCAACCTACCAAGAGAATATATCTGTAAGAACACGTCCCATGCCCAAAGCTAAATTACTAATGATTACTAAAACAACTATTTCTAATTCTGAGCTACAGGTGTTTTGTCGAAAAGGAAGAGCAAAAAGCACTTCAAAGCCACTGAACAAGTTCATTTAAAAAAAACCCCTATCTCTATTTGAGGGTCCTGACAACATTTTTAATATTTTATACTTTAAAGGTAGAAACTTCAGGCTCAACTTCAGCCACCAATACACAGCTGCCCAAGAATGCTGCCTCCTGCCATGCTACAGTAAAGAGCAACTATGAAAAGGTAATAAAAATAAGAAAAGAACAAACATCAAAGATACTGCATCCTAATTTATCACTAGGACATTACCTTCTACTAAAAAAAAAAAAAAATTGGGATTTTCAAGTCTAAATTGCAATGATTTTATCAACATAATTTTAATTTCATTTGGGATTAAGAGATGAGAACAGAACCAAAAAGCACCAGCTTTGACACACATTAAAAAAAAAATCATTAGACATTTTTTACTAAATTAACAGAGATACAGCAAAGATACTTGCTTCACTCCACAAAATCCTCAACAGTTAGTTATATTATCAACTTAGTCCTTAAAAAATAAGCAAGCAAGCTACAGCTACATCAGAAATAGATCGCACGGAACAATGGCACAGTGAACCAGCCAGTGACAAGTTTTTAGTCAAGCTTTTCTCTAACATTTGTACAACATTCTTAATTACAAACAAAGAAATAGCAACAAATAAAAGAGCAACTAACTTTATTTTAAGGGTGCCAGCATCCCACAGCCAAAAGCATATTGTTCCATCTGCCCCGGTTGAAGATAAGTATCTCTTTGAGCCACTGCACAGTGGAGAGAACTGGGGGAAGTAAGGAAAGAAAAAAGAGGTCTCCTGTTAATCTGTTCCAGATGTGCTAATAGTTCCTCAAGTAATTGACTTCTCACAAAAAAATTCATGTATCAAACCACACTTAAGGAAAAAAAACACCCCAGTAAATTGCAACAAACACCAAAGTAACACGATGCTTCTCAGAGTCACTCTCCTCCATCAGAACAACCCTTCTGGGTTACTTGCCAAAGCACTTTGCGTTCTCCCTCCCCACAACCCAAGTTGTGCAACAGCATGCAACACTAAACAGAAACAAACCAAACTATTCAGCAGTGACTGCAGTTCTTACTCAATGTACCTGCGCTCGGAATCACAGCCCGCAAAGGAATGATACTTCAAAACAGCACTGCCCACGCACGTCATGCAATTTTTTTGAACAAGGCTTATGCCTGGCATTTTTCAAGGGTCAGGCATTTTGACAATAAACATGTGTTATTTCACAATGTGTACCGTGGAAATTCCTTCTCACTTCATGGCTTAGTTGCCAGGCATGCATTTTTATTACATGGAACATTCTTGGGTGGTTCCTTTTTCAGTCAAACAATGCATTTTATTGCTCAGGTGAGTTTGCAAAGCAAAAACCTACCTGCAATGATGTTATAGATGCACTGTGGCCCTGCAGAACTGCTAAGGGTGCACAAGTTCGAAGGCACCAAACTCTGATCATTTTATCACAGCTTCCAGCAGCTATCATGGTGTTTTCATAGTTCACTGCCATATCAGATATTTCAGCTGCATGCCCTCTCAGGGTAGCCAACAACCTTCCATCATCTGTTGCCCAGATTTTTACAAGGCAATCATCTGATCCCTAGAAGGTAGAACCATATCATTAGCTGTTTTGATGTTACACTTAACTAACACAGCAGAACTAGCAGCATACATAGATAAACATTCCCCCCCCACACTTTTAACAGTTTTCCACACTGCATTCAAAATACAACATCAGATTACATTAATTCTCAACAGCATATACAAAGCATGATGCATTTATAACACAGATTACAAATCCTACAGCAAGCTGGATTTACACTCTTCAGCAAGACACTTTTTCCAGAACTCCAGCACAAACTGAAGAAGCTGTTGCAATACATTAAAATGAAAATTTACATTAAACGTGAAAATGAATTATGAATTAGTACCCTGTTTGTCATTTCTCATTATACCCACTTGTGTTCCTTATCTTACTAGTTTAATCTTCATGCCCTACCAGCAGTAGTAGTATACTTACCACACTAAGAGTGAGGTAAAGAGCCTGTATGAACAGATACTCCATTATTAAGTTGAAGTACTATAAATCTGCTTTGATATTTACATTACCAAACATTGAAATTACCACTCTTTATAAACAAACTTCAGAGGCTTCATCTACCTATTCACACTTAACTTACATTTTCCTAGTCTTCTCACGTCACAGTAACAGCTGCTTGCCAGTATACAACAAATTCAAGGCCCCAGCAAAAATTTCAGAACCAGCCCTTCATTTTTCATTGCACTGCTGCACCTCCTTGAAAGTCTGAAGATCTCTGCACCTCACTCAACGCAATGACATTTGAACATTGCACAGAGACACTGATGGAGATTTCCTGTTTATGCTTCATTCATTTGCTTAGGTTCAGAAGCAATACAAAGCTGGAGCTTTGTATTTTTTACAAAAAAATACATCTTTAACATTTGGAGCACTGATCTGCTACTGGACACACACAGGTGCCGCTGCAATATGACACCTGGGTTTTTCCTCTTCCATCTTCCTCTTCACCTGGGTTTTCACTCATTCCATTATAGTGCCTCTGCACAAGTTTATCTCGTATTTATTCTTTAAATTAGTCAGAAGGCAGGGCAATACTAGCCTCTGCCTTTTTTTATAAAAGGTATCCAAAGTACAGGGACCAACAGCTGAGGGAACTGGGGTTGTTTAGCCTGGAGAAAAGGAGGCTGAGGGGAGACCTTATTGCTCTCTACAACTGCCTGAAAGGAGGCTGTAGCGAGGTGGGTGTTGGTCTCTTCTCCCAAGTAACAAGTGATAGGACAAGAGGAAATGTCCTCAAGTTGCACCAGGGGAGGTTTAGATTGGATACTAAGGGTTGTCAAGCATTGGAAGAGGCTGCTCAGGGAAGTGGTTGAGTCACCATCCCTGGGGGTATTTAAAAGATGTGTAGATGTGGTGCTTAGGAACATGGCTTAGTGGTGGACTTGGCAGTGCTAGGTTAATGGTTGGACTTGATGATCTTAAAGGTCTTTTCCAACCTAAACGATTCTATGATTTTTAAAAGACTGGTAAGCATTTGGTGAACACAAGCATCTAACAACCAGAAGTCTCAAAAATATTTAGAGGTTACTGATACTATTTTCAACATTACAGCTTTTGTAAACAGGTAAATGACAGGTATTTTCCTTATTTCGTACGCTCTTTAGTCTACATTCACGTAACTACAGAAATCCCACACTGCCATGGCTCAATTTAGTTACTCTTCTGGACAGCCCAGTCCCAGGACACCAACACCCAGCTTGGGAAGTTCTCACCAACACAGCCACTATGTGTTAAATAGAGCTGTCCCACTAGAAAGCCAGGCAAACACTCCCAAGAAATGCTTTCAAAAGGAACCCAGATACATCCTGCAGTTACTGGAATGCATAAAAGGATTTGGAAAGCTTTTTTTTTTCCTTTTTCCTTTTTTTAGTAAACACTGACTAACCTGTTTACATTACATTAATGCTGATGAACAGACAATTTATTTTGCCTTATTTCCCTATACTTTTTTAATGTAGTTACTATTAAAAAAAATTTCAGTTCTCTACTTGAAAAGGTAGCTAAATTTCACTCATTACATTAGTTCACATTCAAAACTAGTATCTGGGAGAAGGAGGGGAACAGCATACCTGCAGTTACCTAACAATTACACACCCATTCTCATTTGTAGCAATACCCTGCAAACCAGGCAACTTCCTCAGGCTTACTTTTTGTTTAGTGAACAAGAAGTTGTTTCTGGCTTACAGGCAGCTGTCCACAGTAGTTTTTCTCTTCCTGTTTTATTTATATCAATTCAGACAAGACATGTATCTCTCAACAAAAAGAGATACAACTATAGACCCAGTTTTTGAAACAGTAAGAAGAAAGCTGATTGTATTTAGGTACACTGAGAGAGCACATTTGTCTACAGATCACAAATACAGGTTGCTTCTCTACAGAAAGTCTTTCATGTCAGCAAAAAGGCTATTCTGGAGCCTTAGTGACATTTTAACCCAGCAGAACATTCTGCAGGGGGACTCTAAACATGCAAAATCAAGATAATTTAAAACTTGATTGTGTATTTGATTTCTGGACTGCCTTGGTAGGTAATTTTGATTTACCAGCTGCCATGCTTCTACTCTTCCTCAGGTGAACGTGACCTTTCTTCCCAGCTCTGCATTCATGGGTGCACCTGCTGAAGAGATGTGGGCAAGACAACTTCTCTCATGCCTCTGCCCTAGTCATTTTTGGCATAAGCTTCTGAGCCTCCAATTAAGGTTATCAAACAAATTCTGTGTCTCTGCATACCCATTTTAAAAAAGTACTTCTATTAAGAGAAGGTCCCTCTTCCCTCAAACAGAAAAGTACAATTTGAGATTTCAGATTTCTCTTTGGTCCTCCAAGGACAGGGAGGCTGAGCAGCAATCAGAAGAGCAGCACTCTGAACATTTAACCTCAACACTCAACCAAGGACTGCTTCCTTGTGCAGTCTTGGTTAGTTACTGCAAGCAACAGCCAGCTTCTACTTCTGCTACTTGTCCTAAGAGGAACTGTTGCAGGGATGTGTCTATTTGACAAAGGAGATAATAAGGGAAGCTTGTTAAAAATTACACTTTCTGCCTCTTGGGTAAGGAGAGCAATGGTACAGCCTACACTATTTCTACTTAGGCATAAAACTTCCCTGCTGAGATTCTGTGGTACACATTTGTGTTACCTAACTGCTAAACAGCTACAGTGCCAGCCCAGGGAAAAAAACTGGAGTCTGTATAGTTGAACAGCAATGGACAGACAGAATCACAGAACCACTGATATATGGTAAGGGACCTTTAGAGATCATCTAGTCCAACCCCCCTGCTCAAGTAGGGTCAGCTAGAGCAGGTTATCCAGGATGATGTATCAACCATTCCTGTTTTGTTATCTTCTGCATATTTACTGAAGGCACCCTCTGTCCTAGCACCCAGGTCCTTAAAGAAAACGTTAAAAAGTATTGGTCTCAGTACCAAACCCTGCGGTACACCCCTAGTAACTGGCCTCTAGCTGGACTTTGTGCCACTAATCATACCCTTTGAACCTGGCAGTTCAGGCCATTTTCAATCTGTCAACTTATTTAGCCTATACTTCATCAGTTTGTCAGTAAGGATGCTATAGGAGACAGCGTTGAAAGCCTCACTAATTCAGGAAGAACATCCACTACTGTCCCTCATCCAACTCGGTCAATGCAACGTAGAAGGCTACAAGTTGGACAGGAAAGATTTCACCTTCATAGGTGATCTATGCTGATCACCTTCTTGTTAACGTGTTTGGAAATGGTTTTCAGGAGGATTTACTCCATCACCTTCTCAAGTGATTGAGATGAAGATGAATGGTCTGTAGTTCCCTGGAACAACCTTAAAGACAAGAGTGCCATCTAGATTTCTGTATGGCCAGTTCATTTAAACATTCCCTAGCCTGATCCTCCTCCACTAAGGGGAAGTCTTCCTTGCCCTACACTTTCCCTCTGGTCTCAAGGACTTGCCATTTCTGAAGACAAGCCTTGCCACTAGACTTAGGCAAAGATGACAGTCAAGCATCTCGTCTTTCTCCTGTGTCCTCCACCACCAGGTCTCCTGCGCCATTCATCAGCAGGCCTACGTTTTCCATAGTGCTCCCTTTGCTGCTGATATACTCGAAGAAGCCTTTCTTGCTGCTCTTCACATCCCTTGCCAGATTCATCTCCAGGCTGCCCTCAGCTTTCCTAACCCCATCACTGAACTTTCAGAGAGTGGCTCTGCATTTCTCCCAAGTCATCTGTCCCTGCTTCCGACCACTTGCACACTTCCTTTTTGTGTTTGAGTTTTGTCAGGAGCTCCTTGGTCATCCATGCAGGCTTCCTGTCACCTTTGCTTGCCTTCCTGCACATCAGGATGGACCATTCTTCAGTCTGGAAGAGACAATGCTTAAAAAACAGCCAGCTCTCCTGGACCCCTCCTCTCTCCCCCAGACCATATCCCACAGGATTCTTCCAAGCACATCCCCACACAGGTCAAAATCTGCTCCCCCAAAAGTCCAGGGTTGTGATCCTGCTTTTTGCCTTGTTTCCCCCGCACAGGATCCTGAACTCCCCTCACCTCATGGTCACTGCAGCCAAGACTGCCCCTGACCTTCACATTCACAAACTGTTCTTCACCGTTTGTAACTATCAGATCCAGCAGAGCGTCTTTTGTTGTCAGCTCCCCAATGACCTGTGCCAGGAAGCTGTCATCAGTGCACTACTGCAGAAACTTCCTGAATTGCTTGCGTACTGCTGTGTTTTCCCCTCTAGCAGATACCAGGGTGGTTCAAGTCTGCCAGGAGGACCAGCCAGGTAAGGCTTCTTCTAGTTGCCTGAAGAAGGCCTCACCTACTTCTTCCTGATCAGGCAGCCTGTAATAGACACCCACCCCAATGTCACCCACATTGGTCTGCCCTTTAACCCACCCATGAGCTCTCAGCTGGTTCATCACCTGTCCCCAGGCAGAGCTCCACACATTCCCGCTGCTCTCTCACATAAAGGGCAACTCCCACTCCTTGCCATCCTGCCCTGCCCCCCCTGAAGAGCCCAT